TATACAGTGCACAAATTATTTGGTGGGCCAAAATGTTTGTTTTTCTGCAGGCTGGCTCTAGTAATGCTTAGTTGTCTTTAACTTCTTTTGAAACAATTCAGTCAGGTTGTATTGTGACAGCTGTCATATCAGCATGCATTTAACACAAAGTTATCAAAATTGGTGAATTTTTGAGTAGCTATTTTAATACTGAGGGTGGAAGAAAATAAGCAACATTTTTGGCATATTATGCTTTATTATTTCAAGAAAGGTAAAAATGCAACTGAAATGCAAAAGAAAGATACTGTGCAGTGTGTTGAGAAGGTGCTGTGGCTGATCAAATGTATCAAAAGTGGTTTGTGAAGTTCCTGGCTGGAGATTTCTCCCCCGAAGATGCTCTATAATCAAGCAGACCAGTTGAAGGTGATAAGAGTCAAACTGAGACATTATTGAGAACAATCAACATTATAACACATGGGAAATAGCCAACATTCCCAAAAATATTCAAATCAATAAAATTATTGGTGAAGATGAAAAAATACGTCTCTTATTTTAGGGAAAAAACTAAACAGACGTCTTGGCCAATCTGATAATAGCAGAGAAAGTGTTGCTTCACTGGAAAGCCCCCACTCAAGAGCTTTGAATAGGGCAAAAGCCTCTTTGTTTTAGTCATATTTTCTGAGAAACTACAAAAACTGCTTTGTTTTTTTGCACTAAGAAAACACTTTAGATATTCATACTATAATAGACCTTGTCACCATTTAATATATCAAATATTACCTTTCATAATATTTGATTACTTGAATAGTTTCTCAACCCCCTCCACCCACTGCCCTCTTCAAAATATAAATACCACTGGAACCGGATTTTTTTTTTTTTTTTTTTTTGCGGGGGTGTTTTGTTTACTGCTCTATTCTTGGTGCTTAGAACTGGTCCTGCTACAGACTGGGCAGTCAGTAAGACCTACTGAATGAATGAATGATGCTTGAATGTTATCCACCTCTTTGTTTCCTGGACATTTTAAAAGGCTTTAGATTTTGCTTCTTTTGAACATCTGAGTATTTCTTTTTCTGGTAGAGCAGTCTACTACAATGGTATGTTGATAAGTGTTATAGAGCTTATAAATAGTTGGAGGCAAGGTATGAAAAATAATTATGTTGTATTGGGAGATGTAAAAAGATAGAGATGGACTACAGAAAATAGAATTCTGTCTCCCTTTAATTTGACCGTGTTGTCCCCAGAGTAAAACTGTACAAAACATTAAACTCGTACTTTGATGACCTAGACTTAGGATGGAATAATAAAGAACACTTTGATCCTAACAGTGAAGGTTAAATGACCCAATTATTATAAAAAAAGATAGAAAAAAAACTCAGTTATCACTTTTTAAAATAAGAACACTTCACTCTTTCCCCTCAATTCACTATTAATTTGTATCGTAGTCAATCTAGACACTACTTTAGCTGAGTCTCAGTATTTGTCTGAAACACAAATTAAGAGTTCTTAAAATAGCAAGAACTTTAAAACATTATTATAAGGTAGGGAACGTGGTCCATTTTCTTGGAAGCAAGAAAACTTGACTCTGAGAGGTGAGATGATGTCTGGAAGCATTTTTTAGTCTCTGTCTTTGTTGTAGTCATTTTCCTCATCTTGGGCTTTAGTAAGGATATAATTTCAGTTCTAGTCAGATAGGGGGATCACAATGCCAGGTGTCCATCCCACCAGTCAATCCTCTGCTTAATTGCTGAAGTTTGATACGTCCCCATGTTTGCCCCAGAAAACGCTAAACGTCCTTTTTATGAGCAATAGGGAATTAAATTTCCTATGAGGACAAATTAACTGCTAAATTATAACAGAAACAAAACCACCACCAGTGAGAGAGACAGACAGACAGACAGAGACAGAGAGGACAGGGAGACAGAGAGACAAAGACTTTTGTTCCAACTCCAAGCTCTCAAAAAGTTCATTTTTTCCCTCTTTCCCTTCTCTGTATTTTCTACATTTTTTTTCTTTTTCTTTTCCTTTTTGAACTCACTATGTACTTTTTGCCTTCTCTGAAGTGTAGATTTTGGTCAGCAACCTAATTAAAGTGGAAGAGGTCAAAACAGACTATTGAAATAAAGTGTCATTTAAGCCATGGTAACTATTATATTTGGGCAACTCTTAAAAAGGGGGAAGAAACTCTTCAGGGAATTTAAAACATTGTTTCAAATAACAGACTTAAAATATAACACAAAAGCATGTGAACTGGCTTAGAGTAAAAAGACATTAGGAGAGTAAGGAAGGAAAATAAAATATTTTGTAGATAGGTCAAATTCATGGCCTTATGCATCAAATTTTCTACTGACAGTGGTTTCATACCTAATATCTTCTTCTTACCCAAAAATGGTGATTGCAAGCTCTGGTTTTCCATATACCCCAGCCTCACCTTATCCTTAGTCTGTTTCCAATGATCTCAGAAGTGCTAAAATAATCTCCAGATAAGTTTATTTTGATTAAAAAATATCTCCACGTATCCACCTTATTATTATTTTCTTGTCTGATAGAAAGGGAGAATGAGGCAGAGAAGACAAAATTGTAAAGAAAGTAAAAGGTTTGTATTCTCATCTAAGTCTTAAGGTAACCAGTTAAAACACCTTGTACGCAATGCAAAGAAAAAGTGTTTTGCTTTGCCTTGTATTTCATTCGCACTGCTCCTTATGCACGGGGAAGACCAGAGGTCTGGTTTCCACAATATTAGGCTTTTTCCTTAGTACTTCAAAATTTAATTTTTGAAGTTTGGAAAAAAAACTGCAGCTCTTTCTGATGCTTAGCATTTTACAGCTTAATAATTTCATATACTAGAAGTATTTCAGCAGAAAATGAGCTTTGACTATTTATAGATTTGCAATAATCCAAGTAAGGCTGCAGAAACAAATTCTTGAAACGGCCCTTATTTCGAAAACCCGATTTTTCTAAAAAAATTATGGATTCATAGTTTTCACGAAGGATAAATAGCAGGTACAATGTAGCATATGGCAAGAGGACTAAATCAGAGGTGGGAAGGTGGGAGTAGATGGTATTTCTTTTTTCCTCTGATTACTACTAATTGTGTTCAAAAATATATATTAGGCATGGTATTTTGCCTCTCCTCAAGAAAAACAATATTTGGAAATTCCTATGTAAAGCTAATATGCCACAAGGAATATATTCCATATAAAGACTTTTGGTGGGGTATCCATGTCCCTGTGGAAATTACACACACACACATATCCGTGTGGTGCAATCTGTTCCAGTCTATACAATGGGGAGGGTGGAGAAAGCTCTGTGGGGGCCAGGAATAAAGTCATCTCTGGGAGTTTTTAAGGTATTAACTAGAAATGGGAGAAATGCTACAGCTGAAACCTAGAAAAACCTTCCCTTTTGCCCTAAATCCTAACCCAGAGAATGTTAAACTTAAGCATTCTTTATTTTATTTTGTTTTTTATTGTTGTTCAAGGACAATTGTCTCCATTTTCTTTAAAAAACTATTTAGCAAGTTAGGTTAGGGAAGAAAAAAATCCTGAACCTTTTTTGAGATGGTTAAATTGCTATTCATTTTGTATTTTAATCTAACCTACTGGTGATTTAATTTACAGAACTCAAAGGAAGTGTACGCTCAAATATTTGAGGACGTTAACATATCAACCACTGTTTAATTTTGGAATGTGCCTACTTGCTTGACACAATATTTTACCATCTCAACAAATGTTTAGCCTTTTTTTCACTTGACTACAGAGAAATAAGTTTCACATTGCTTCATTCACCTTCTTATGTGCATATGCTGGGAAAGATTGGATGTTAAAAAAAAAAAACTTCCTCATGTTCCTTTCTACTACATCTAAATCTGTTTACCAATTCAAAGCTGCTAAAAAGCACTGCATTCTCCTGCTAAATCAACTGGATGGCTAGAAACCAAACTGTAATGTAACAGGAAAAAATTATCAATTTATTTTCATGACAGAACATTCTTGAGAAGGTATAAATTTTTTCTGGTCTTCATGCCAGTTTTCTTTTTTCTTCTTTTCTCTGTCTTTTTAAAAGGCTTTCAGCCTTGAAGCTGATACTCTTTATAGTTATATAACAGTTCTAATATTTTGTGACATTTTGTATTGTGACACCATAGATGAAATTGTCATCGGACTGACACTCTGTGCTGTTTATTCCTTAATTACAACTGTTAAAACTGTAGAGAAGTACGCTAGTCTGCCAGCGCATATTATGAAAACAACATTATTGTTATCCACACCAGAACCCACTCAACAGGGTATTTCCAAGATGATAGTTTAAAGAAACTTAGCACAATGAACGTTTCAATTTTTAGTTCTCCAATTACCTTCTTTAAAAAACACAAACCAGTTTGGCATATAAAATCTTTCATTGTAACGTAGCATAGATTCCCTCATCAGTAGGAGCTGCCTCCATAGTTAGAAAAGTATAATTTTTGCGAGAGTTCAAGCAGCAGTGCACTGAAGAATCTCAGAGCTGTGTAGGGTTGTGACCCAAAGCTTTCTGACTGGCAGTTGCTTCAGAAATAATGAAAACAGAAGGGAGAGGGAAGGGCAAGTTTAAAGATAAAAAGATAAGAGAGGGGTTATTCGCACTCACAGGGTTGGCAAGTCAAAATCCAACAACCATCTCCAGTTTTAATAGGTATCCTTTTTCAGAACCAGTTGGGGCCTTGCTGAAACTGACTACTTAACAAATGCTTTATTTCGGTTGTTTCCTACAGAACTTTTAGAGGTTTATCTTTGAGGAACCAAATCCTCTGAATCTATTTTCTGATAGAGTATTATTATACTAAAGCAGTTAAGTGTGACTGTCTTTTCATTTGTTAAAAGAAACTAAAATAGTGAGCAAACAATCACTTTGATCCTGTGCCTCACCCTCATAATAAAATAACTGAAAAGCAAAGATTCTACAAAATGAAAAATCAGAACAGCTGGTATTCACTGTTTAGATGAGCATGACTAAGTGATTTTTTTAAAAAACAACACACAACATTCATTTAGCAATTTATTGAATAAGCAGTACACCTTTCAATATAAGTTTTTTTTCAATATTAGTTGTTAATACTTGCATGAATTTGATAGCGAATGCATGACCTTGAAATAGTAGTAGGTCTCTAAGGGGTAACCCAAGACTTGCCAGGAGATTCTCATGTCTTTGTCAATTGAGGAGTTAATGGGACAACATGAATACATTTGATTTCTACAATTCCTGCAGTGACCTGCATATTTTTTAATATTCAGCTTTACTAAGCAGGTTTTTTAAAACAGTATGTGAAGAAGTTACTGCGGTGCCTTAACTTCTGCTTCATTTTCTGCTTCATTTTGATTTTCAACACCAATAGGATATGGTACTCTTCCTAAAAGAAACTGTTTCCATTTGGGGATATATTCTTCTACTGATGCCCAGTAAAGAGTCTGGAAAAAAAAAATCCCGAAGTAAAAAAGCATATCAAGCAATTGAACTTGGCTCTTCTTAATAGTCTAAATGTTTATTCACTTGAATGTGTGTGTGTGTGTGTACACACACATATATGTAGAATGCACCTCCTTTACAGAATATTTTATGTTAATTTTAGAAAAAAATCTGGCTACTTACTAGTGTTAATTTTCAAATTTCTCAGTAAAACCAGAGCCTGGCAGAATTACAGGTTTCAGAATTTAATTGTGATTTTACACGCCCTCTTGTGGCCAACCTTGTGTTTATTACCAGTATCATTTATGGCCGCAGTCATTAAATGTTTTTGTTTAATGTTCCAAATCCCATACCAAATGATTACCCACACTAAATTTGTTACAATAAAGTAATTAATCATGACCTGCTTCAGATAAATCGACCCCCTTAATTGCATGGGGAAAACATTAAAAAATGTATCTTTTAACAGAGCACTTGATATAACAAATTTTAATTTATTCCTTTTTTTGTATAATGAGAAAATAACATCAAGATTACCTACCTAACCATTTAAAATTCAGATAACTTGGAAGTTGAGGTGCTATATTATTGGCCTGACTCTAGCAGTCTGTAAGTTACAGAAGCTCATGCAACATCACCACCGTATCATGTATACAAGCTTCAATGGCTTCTTGGGTGACTGCCTTACAGAGGCCAAAGAAAAGTACCTGCCAAAAGCTTTGCATCACAAGAGGGCATTTAGTATTACATTATCACTATCAATCTCATTTTGGGAAACTCAGCCAAAGAGTTACATTAAGAACACATAATGATTCACTCTGATCATTGAAAAGGTACAGGACTTCTGAAAGTTGATAATGGTGAGGGATTCTACATATCTCTGCATCTATGCATGTGGTCTGAGAAAGAGCCTGACATACTGAAAATAAAGGTCATCCTGCTGTGCAAGACTAGCTAAGGAAAATGCCACCCGAGGCCTGTGGTTGGGAATTTCTCCACCATTCACGGCTGGATTAACCCCTATTGTGTGGGCCCTATATGGGCCAGAGTAAGGTATTGGAGAACTCAACAAAGAAAAAGACATGCCCAGGGCACAACTTTGTACCAGGATTTTTTCTCTCCTTGATCACTGGCTTTTCTTATTACACTAGATGACACAGAAAATTGAGGGGCAAATTCTCAGCCTTTAAATTTGAGTTGATTCACATCTTTGGTTAGGCAGCAAGCAAAATTGTATTTGAAAAAGGTCATTAAAAATATCAAATCAAACTATTCTATATGTAGTAAATTCCCTTTCATCAAAAATACATTCATATGCCAACTATGGTTTGGTTTATTTTTGCCAGCCATCTTCCCAATCTGTTCTTGAACTGAGCAAAATAAAACAGATAAAGCCACACTATACTGCATAAAATGCATTTAAATAGCGTTGGTTGAATTTTTGGTGAAGGGCTGAACTGCTTGCTATGTCTTAACATCAGCCAACAGGAAAAGCACTTTGATTAGGCATATTGCCAACTTAATAGTTAGTGCATATTTTCTGTTAAGAGTTTAACAGGATAGTTGTTTCTAGGTGAAAAGACACAAAATCTTTATACAATTTTCACTTGATCAAATTTTTGTTTAAATCAAGATACTTATTACCTACTATGTACAAAGTATGGATGGCTCTGTGGACAGGTAAAGACCAGACCCATCTTGTTTATTTTAGTTGAAGAATAAATTGATCTTGGAGATACAGACATAATCACTATGAAATTTGCAATGATCAAGTCTCTTCCTTTACCATTCATTGTTCCTTAAGATTCTCACCTCAAGAGAAACCACTTCAGGTGGTGGAAATGGGTGAATCCGGGCCTGTAGAAACTTTTCTGCTCCTTCTATGTCCTGCAATAGACATTGGCGTTTAAAAACAAAATGCATTTATATAGTATGCACAAATGGCACCTGTTATGTATAGCTATATCAATATCCCAAATCTCTCCCCTCCACTCTTCTCTGGATACAGTTTGAACTGATGTAGGGGCACTGACGTAGGAGAACTGATTATTGCTTAATTAACCAGTTTCAAATAGAGAGTGCAGGGCTTCTTATTTTAAAATAAAAGGTGGGGGTGGTACTTCTAAGTTCTGCCTTATTTTAAATAGTGTCAATAATTCTTGCAAGGAAACAGGAAAAAAACTTCCTCTAAAACTGTTCAGAGTGCCAACTTAGCTCTAAAATCATTAAAAACAGTCAGATGGCTAAAACAGTCAAATATTCAGATACTAAAAACAGTCAGATACCCAGATCCACACTGCACTATCCTTAAAAGTAAAGAGACTGAGTCTGTCCGGATCATGTAAATAATATATTAATGACACACTTCATTTATCTAATATTCCACTTTTAAATTTTATACCTAATATTTAAAAGGTCAATAAAGTACCTCAGCACTTTAAAACAACACCTTTTCACTATACTCTCTAGATTTTTAGTACTAGATTTCTAAGGTAATCTCGATGATGAGTTTTATTGCTAGGTAGTATATACCATTTAGCGGATGGCATTCAAGCACTGTGCTTTAATCTGGAGCTTAAATTGTAGATATGTATATTTTCCCTTATGATTATAGCAACACAAGGGTAATTAAATGTAATTCATACCCTGGGAAAGACTCTACCTTGATGCAGGCATGAAGTCCATGCCCAGAAACATTTGAGTCCTGTTTAAATTAATGCTCCCAAATCAGCACCAATGTTGTCTTGTGCTTGCTTGTATTTGTCAGGTTCACAAGAGGCCTTGGTTGAAGGCCATGTAAATTGTATCTCTCCTTTGAGCTTTGTGATTTGAGAGAAAAAAGAAAGCATTGGAGCAATCTTAGTACAGGGCTGTTGGACAGACGGAGGGAGATGGAAAAGGGCGTGGGAGTGGGTGTGAAGAAGCCAATGCTGAACAGGAGAAAAGAGACAGCAGATGGCAGCGCAGGGAGCATGGGGTGGGTGTGAAATGTAAAAGGGAAAAACAGGAAATTCCCTAAAGGGACTCCCCAAAGTTGCACAGCTATTAATGCACCTGCTGTCTAGAGGAAGGTGATTTGAAGGGGAAAAACATCAATTTAGGGATGAAAAGCCCATCTATTAGCATGTTGATCCCATCCCAGAAGTTTACATCAAAGCCATGTGCTAAAAAGCTTTTGATGCCAACACTATAGCAGACAGAGAATCACTTTTCTGTGATTACACTGAGATTTTACAAAGTCTTGGAAAAATGATTCTTATTTTATAAACCAAATAGAATAAAATAACAACTCCAATTATACCATTTTTCTAAAGACAGTTACAAAATTACTGTTAATGGTAGATCTAGGTGTCACTAATACCTATAGACACGATTATAAACATTTTTCTTTTTTAAAAATAATTTTTAATCCTTACCTGAGAATATTTTTATTGACTTTTGAGAGAGAGAAACAGACAGACAGACAGATGGACATCGATCAGTTGCCTCCTGTACACACACTGATGGGAGATCAAACCCATAACTTGTGTATGAGCCCTGATGGAGGATTGAACCTGCAGCCTTTTAATGTATGGGACAGTGCTCCAACCAACTTAGCCACCTGGCCAGGGCAACATTTTTCTTAAAAATCAGAAAATAAGCATACTAAATTTCTCTTATTGAAAAGCAGATACAGTGGGGACACGTGACCTGGTAAATAAGGCCTTGTGGTTAGTAACTTGACTGTTACCTCTGCGTCATTTCCACAGGAGGTCATCACTCGAGAGCAGTATTTCCTGAAGTGGTATTTCACTTCCGTAGATGTTTTGCTTACCTCTCTGAATCCTCATCTTTCTCCTTACCTGGCTCCTTTGTTTCTCTTTTAGAATGTTTCTCAGTTAGGATAAACCTAACTGTGGGCTTTCTTAAGATTCGTGACATTTGTCCTTCTCTTTTTACTTTTTCCCCCTCCAAAATTGTCTTTTCTCTAGCTTCTACTATTTATGTAGAGGAAGGTATAACTTTTCTTCCTAGTCCTTATTTCCCAGCCTAATAAAACTACATTCCTCTTCTTGGTACTGAATGTATTGAACGGATAATAGTGGGAATTCTACTCCCCCAGACACCCCGTGTCTTCAACTCTTTTCATTCCCTGTCATTTAAAAGTTCAGAGCTTCGGGATGTTTCTCTGCGTCCCCATGCCATTCCCAATGCTATGGCCTTGTTACTACACTTACTCAACAAATATTTATTGAATACTTACTTGAACTCTCATTTTACTTCAGTCCATACTGAACATGGAATTGATCAGTTTTGCTAAAAACTACTTTAAATAGGTCCTTACTTAGATTTTTAAAAAATGACCCCCAGTACATAGGAGATGAAGTATGAATTCCTTAGCTTGTCTGAAAAATTCTTTGACTATATGCTGCTAGAAGGAAAAACCTAGTTGATTGCATTTGAAATGATATTTTATATTTGTGATGGAATTACTTTTAATGACATTTTATTTAATCTATTTCATTTCATTTTATTAAAAGTATGTACTAAAAAATTTAAAATGACATATGTGGCTCACATTGTATTTCTTTTGCACAGCACAACTTAGATTTATCTATTTATAGGGATTCTGGGAACTAGAAGAACATACCAAATGATACCTCAGCTATGTAATTAGCAATATGCAGAGTCTGGGAAACTCTGTAGGACAATGATCCAATTACTTCAACAAAGAAATTAAAAGGGCAGGGGAGACTTAGAGATTCATGACTCCTGTCAATCCGTTAATCAGGGAAATATGAATCCTTATTGGATATTTGAGGAATTATTCTAAATTTCTTAGATTGATAATATTGCAATTTTTCTTTACATAGTCCTTATCTTTTAGTGATAACTGAAATAATATAGAGATAATATACTCACTATTTACAGATGAAACACTGAGATATTGAAGATTAGCTTCAAAGTAATCTGAAGGGTGGGAGGTGAGGAATATGGATGAAACATGATTATCCATGTTTTGATAACTATTTAATCTGGGTGATAAGCACACGGAAGTACATTCTTCTATTCCCTCTTCTACACAGGTTTGAAATTTTTGATAAAAATTAACAAGTGTCTAGTGTGTCTGACGGTGTCAATGTTACACAATGGCAGATTCAGTAGTCTGTATAAATGAGTTGACTCGTGACTAGGACAGGTAGAACAGGAGCAAAAACACTCATGGACTGAGATCTCCTCTCCCCCTCACCCCTGCCTCCTGGCCCAGCGATATATATCTCCGTATAAAAGTATACAGTAAACTCAGATATGGCTGGGCTGGGTTTGATTTTTTATTCTGCTGGAGGTGCAATTTCTGGGATGAAAGAAACAAGATACCAAAGCATGAGGTACAGGGTCATTGGTACAAGGAACACTTAAACATTCGTTAAACTTATTCACGGAATTGGAAAAAGTGACAGATGAGAGGAGGGAAGAGAAGAGATGTGGACCCGTAAGTCACTGGCCAACCTGGGTGGCAGGCAGTCTGTTGAAGGCTCTAATTGCCAGCTCCCCTGTGAAGGGTTCCAGGACATGCCTACATGGAAGCCCTCAGGGCATTGCTAATGTGCTGGAGCATTCTCCCATTCATTCTTATTCTGGAGTGTTTGTCCACCCTCCTCATGAGATGACCTTCAAACTGCCCTTTTTGGGTAAAACTAAGTTTTGTGGGGATAAAGATGAGAGAGATGACAGTTTATGTTATGGAAATGTTTTTTGGTAACAAAATCCTGTTTCTCTTACAAATGCAGACCAATTAAGCTTATGTTTTTAAAAGGCAGATAAATTTCATTTTCTAAATACTAACAGTCTATTTTCAAAGTCCACTATCTGTTGCAATATTTACTGATGAAACCCTCACTGTGAGTTTTCTTCTACTTATATTCTTGTTCATTCTTTTACCAATAAGTTTTATGGGACTAGGCTCTTTTTCCTTTTTGCTCTTTTTAAAAAATATTCTTAGATATTCTTGCTAATTTATTTTTGCAAATATACATTTAGAGAAATTTTATTGGGTTTGATACACATTTTGCCAGAATTTTGTAAATCTAAAAATAATTTTGTGACAGCTCACTTTAGAAAAGTAATACTCCCCATTCAAGAATAAGACATATTTTTTACTTAAATTTTCTCATAAATCTTCCAATGAAATGCAGTAATTTTTTATACAAATCATGCACATCCCTTGTTAAGAGCATTCCCAAGTGTTTTATAATTTAATTGCTAATGTGAAACTGATCTCTTATATTTTCTAGCTGTATCTGTAGTATTGCTATTGATGTTCACTTTTTATCCATTAATTTTGTTCAACTCAAAATATACCAGTTTTAAAACAATTTTAGCTTTTCTTAGTATATAACCATACCACTTAAAAATGTTAGTGCTGCATCTTCCTGTCCAAAAGTTAAACCTCATTCTGTTTTAGTGTTTATTATATTAGCCAGAGCCTCTAAGTAAGATCAAGTAATGGATGGAGATCTATATTTCCATCCAAAGCTGTCCACTTTAATTTATTTTACTTCTTTGAAAATGTGTCTATGCTAAAAAAAATTTGAAAATCTTCAGGTAACAATCTAATCTAATCTAATCTGTATGCTTTTAAAAGTCTCTCCCAACTCAAAATTCTGCACTCACATCCTATTTATTTTACTTTCACAATAATTTATATAATAGAACCATTAAGTTTATTTCTAAAGTTAAAAACTATGAGAGAAAACAGGATAAAAGATTGCATGTATAATTATCCAAAGCACATAAAAGAAAGATTGGGAAGAGACAGCATCTGTATCTTGGATATAACAAGTGCTCAATAAGTGTTTATTATAAAGGCTGTAAGGAAGTACACAAAAATATATTAGTTCCTAGGTAGGCAGGATAAAGAAGTTATTTCATCTTCACTCTTCAAATTTTCTGCAGTGATATATTAATTTGTATTATTATGTATTGATAATACAAAGTAATTGTATTAGCATATATTACTTTGATAATCAGGAGAAAAATACCATATCACACTGGTTTCTGATGACTATGAAATAGTTCATTATTTTCCTTCTAGATATGACAGTTACTTCATACTTCTATTAACCCCAATCTCTCCATTCCTGAAATGACCTTGCATCTAAATAGCAAGTGAATCTTTCCTAAATATCCTATGTTTTTTACATAAGTTTTTATTTTTCTTTTGTCCAAATATTTTTAGTACTGTATCATCTCTACATAAAATCTCAGTTTACTCAGAGACCTCACAATACATATTCAACTTTTTTCTGTGACTTTCCAAGCTAGTTAGCTCACGGTCCTGTGAACATTAATAAGGCTCTTTTGTTGGCTCTTCTGAAACAATCCAGCAGAACACCTTGCCTTCTGCCTATTCAAACACAGCTCCAGCTTAGCTTCCTCTCTGAGACCTCTTAGAACATCTGAGCTCTCAAAGATTTTTTACAGCTACTCCTAGAATGTGAGTGTTGAGTGTTCCATATAACTTAATGTTTAATCACATAAAAGCCTCATATTTTGTGTGTGACAACCTTATGACATCAACTAAGCCTGTTAGCTACTTGAAGTGAAGAGCTCTGACTTCATGCTTGTTTTGCGGTCGCCACTTTCTAACCAGAACTAGCTAAATAGTAAAGACCCTCTGGGCATTCATCAAATATTTGCTTAATAAAATATTAACCAAATATTACCTGCACTTGCCGCAGGAAGTAGAAATCAAGACTTCAAGCCTTCTAACTTCATTTTCTGACTTTTTCACAGCAAATTCCAGATTACCCTATATATTTCCATTTAAAAATAAATATTGCAAACACCATTGGGCAAGTAAGACATATGGCAATATAGAATGCTTTGGTAGCACTATGGCTGTGACTTAAATTACTGTGGCTCAAACTGCCAGAAGCTGAGAAGATAACTGAATTTTCTCTTCCTTTATCCTCTAGTGAGGACAGAAGATAACTATATCATGCCTATCGATGAAAATATTTAACAATAAAAAACTGAAAACACTTCTTTATAACTTAAATAATATAGCCTTAGTACCAAATGTTTTAGTCATAGGATCTCTTGGAAGCTTGACTAGAAGCAAACTTTTAGGGTTTTAATTATGGATGAAGCCATACAATTCTGGAAGCAAAGCATAGCAAGCAGCCAAAAATGTTACACATATGATTTTACTCCAAGTGGGCACATTGGCCAAATGGTGAGGCCCTGCGCAATCACACACTTTGACCGCCCCCTCCATCACCATCCAAAGGGATCTTGAAAATCTGTTATCTTACATACGAATTCTATCTGTGGACTGTGGCCCCACCAAGGCAAAATCAAATTGTTCTTGTTGTTATGATGTTAAATTGTTTTGAGTTGCATGTAAATACATTATAGGTACTTTATGGTATTTTAAAATCTCCTTACAAAGAAAAGATGAAAGATTGAAAGCTACATCTCACATTTATTACTTTTTGCATAAAAGATGACCTTAAAATTCCTTCTGTAGTCACTGAAATTTCTGGTTGACTGAAAACATTTAGCTTAAACAAACTTCACTTTTTCTCATTAAAAAAAAAGAGAACTCATTTTTTATCTCACTACATGGGTCTAAAAAGAGATGATGCTTCATTAATTCTATTTATTACTTGTAACAAAAACATTATACAAATCAAATTATCAAATTCACTTCAAAACTTTTTCAAAGATGGAAAAATTCCTGATACTCAAGTGTTGGGAACTTACCTTTAAAAGACTGAGGTTCCTTTTAAATGCAGCCTCAGCTGCTTGAATCTGAGATGCCTTCTCCTTGTTTTTATCTCCAAATTTACTCTTCATTTGTTGAAGTAACTTTAATCTTTGCAATACTCTAGAAAAAATGAAGATTATTATATAGAAAGTTTTTTAAAAGGGGACACTTTATTGCTTGACCAATATAAAGTATTCATTTCTTAATTGTACTTCAACTTATTTTGTAAGCCAATTATTAAGACAGCAAAAAACTTAGGTAGTTTAATAAGACTTAAATCTGGATAAAATTATTTTTATTTGCATTAACATATACTATAAGTATCTACTTCTGTCTTTTTTAGCCTCGGTTTTCTAAAATTGTTTTAAAGTGTTGAAAACATATACATTCTAATTTTTATGAAAATTCAAACTGTAATAAACATCTCCTTGTATACATACTTACATATACCTCTACACACACATACATCGATGTAACTTGCTGCACAAAACCTTCTGCGTAACACTTTAATACTCCTGAATCTCATGTTATACACTTAGAATTATGCTAAACTTTCCTATGTCTGAAAAAGCAATACAAATATTTTGTCCTCTTTTTCTAAGAGGAAGATGAGGGTTCCCTAGATAAGTGAAGAGGCTACGTGTATGTATGCATGCAAACTCACCATAAGGTAAAACTGTAGCTGAAGAAAGATGTAAAAAGTTGTCAGTGAATTATCAAACTGCTTTGTTATATAGAATATACTTTTAAAAATTATCACTGGTACAAAGCTCATTTTACAAGTTTCTGGTCTTCTTAAATGATTAGTAAGTAAATATGTCAGATGATAAAAAATACATAAGTAATATATAACAGTCTAATCTCCCAAGTAGTTGCAGAAATTCTCAAGAAACACTGTTTCATAGGGCAGTTATTGAGTGTAAAACTAAACTTTTATACAGTCATTTTTGTAAATAAAGTATCTTAAAAGACCAAGGAAGAGGGTCTGGTGATTAATTAGAGAAAAGGAAAACATGAGAGCCCATAGTCAGAGATGGAGAAGGGTCAATACAAAAAATAAGTGCAAGACTGGCTATATAATACAGTGCAAAATAAAAATCTGAAGCCCCTTACTAAAAAGTATTAGGAATTTCAAGAGTACAACATAGGGCATTAAACCAAGTGCAGGGCCTGTGGCTGCACAGGTCACATACCCACGAAGCTGGCCCAGGGTAAGAGGCTTGGAGAAGTCCATTAAATATTAGTGTGTAGCCTAGAAAGGGTGAGAGGAAGGGTGAAATTGTCTAGATATTAGTAACAAAAGTCAAAACATATAGAACACAATTATATCTTTCAATCTTTGTTATTCTTAAGGACAATGACATTCCCTTAGACCCAAATCTCTGAAGTGTCAGAAAATTAAAATGATACACTTTCAGATTTTTAAGTCTTCCTGTGCACACAATGTTTCACTAATAAAGTCAGCATAATTCATTTATTTAGATTAGCTTTTTTAAGAAACTTACATTTCTTCATGTCTTTTAGACAGGCGAATTTCCTGAGTGAACAAGGAAGTCATCTTTAGTTAAAGCTGCATTAGAAGCTTTCTGCTAAATAGTAAAAACATTTAGAGTTACTTCTACCACATGTCCTCAGCTTCACAATATTCAATCATGTTAGTACCTCAACCCATTTGTTTTTTCAGAAGAGAAAAACTTGAGATAATATAATACTGTATAAAATGAAATAATGCATTTAAAAACATTTTTATTTACGATGCATAGTTTTCTTATGCCAGATTCATCTAAGAATACTGTGAATCAGGTAAATTCAACACATTTCATATTTTTCTCTTTCTTTCCACATTTTAATCTTAAGCAATTCAAAACAAGCAAGCAGCTGGTACTAAGACTAGTAAACATTTTATGGAGTAAATAGAAAGAAAAATATCTTCTCTGTAAACCAATACAGGAACACCATCCCTCATGCATGTGCACACACACACATAGGAATGCAAACATGTATGAGAACCAACTGGAAATTCACGGTCTTTCCTTTATTGGAAGACTGCCCAGTTCTACCATCTCTTTTCCAATAGGAAAGTGATTTTTTATATGTAACTGTGGGGAAAAGCACCATTGCTCCCTGGCTGCTAAGGACTCTCATTTGGGAAGTTCGGGAAGTCCATTTTCACGGCACATGGGCAAGCTCACCTTGGCTGAAGAACCTAGTCCAACACAGAGGTTGCTCTAAACTTAGGATTGGAGCCTGAAGGTAAATCGTCTGATTGGGTGCAAAAGTTGAAGGTGCCTGCCCTAGGGGAGAAAAGACGGGAATGAATTTCCCTTCTGGAACAAAGTACTGGCTTTCCTAATTTTTATGAAATGTAACACTGATTGCGGATCGCCCAAGTGTCCAGCACTGATGGAGACATTGAGCTCTATAGCCACGGAATTGCAAACACCACCCCTGCCCTCACCTAATTTCCTCCTCGAAGAATCACTGTCTTGTATTCAGCACCGAGGACAGCAATCACTCGAAAGGTTTCCCCCTCCCCAGGCCCACCCTACAAGGATCGAGTTAGAGAAGATTTTCCGTTAAAATTACTGCATGCCAGTCCTCACTGCCTTCTTCCCAGTTTGCAGTCCAGTGTCAAGGAAATCCTGGAAAGTTGGTCCATGGTAACTTCTTTTCTGTTACGCCTGCCATCAGCACTTCACACAAACCCCGCAACTGAAACCAAGATCCACATAGTCTGAAGTCTTTCGGCCCTCTCACCACCCCAGGTCCCGCTTCTATCCAGAGGACTCGTGAACTTTCCTCATCACCCCAGCCCTTCCCCCTGAACAGCATCATCCCTACCAGTTATGCAGGCACCTGTGCTGCCTGGGAAAGCCAAGCACCCATCCGTGCTGTGATGCTGTGAAACCTCACGACTGCACCCTACTCTGACCTCTTCCGGAAAAGCTCTGAGTCTGCGCAGAGGCTGGGTCTCTGCAAGGGCCAGGGCGTGGCCACGCCCACTTCAGTGCTGCGACTTGATGTGACGCGCATTGACGACGTTATAAAAGGCCGCCCTCTGGCGCAAGGTCAGGTGGTGCTGCTCGGGGGCGGGACCTTTTTGTTGCGTGCTAAGAACGGTGAGTTTTGTGCCTCTTAGTTGCCTGGTAAGAACCCTGAATGTTGTGGCAGCTCAATTTCAAGGCAGTTTGAAATGGGACCTGAGTATGTTAAAAAGGCTTCTGAGAGTGAAGCTGATTTCTTAATACCTAAAATGTCACAGTAGATAGTGGATGTGAGAGAAAGTCTTCCAAGTAGTCCGACAAGTTTGAATGGACTTCACATTCTGTGAAAGCACCTTTGAGGAGGCCCTGTGGGGAGTAGCTCTGACACCCAGAGGGATAGTGATAGTGATATGGATCGTTCACGTCTTGCGTTTGTGTGCCCGTTGCTGTGTTTACGTGGGTTAGGTCATTCATCGAATCCCGACTATGCCCGTTGAGATAGGTACTATTATCCTCACTGGAAAGAAGAAACAAGCTTGATAATTTATTTAGTTTATGGATTGAAGCCAGCGGAACCTTGATTAAATTCATCATTGCCCTCAGGACACACACTTGGGACTCATCCATTAGTGCTGTAAAGTGTGTTCTCAAACATCCTTTTCCCCCTGGGAATAATTTTGTAGGTTATGTGGTACCGTCTTTAATTACAGAGGAAGGCATTGAAGTTCCAGAGAAGTAAAGTTTTCTTCCTAAAAGTTTGAGTTGGTGAAAGCAAAGAGCTAGGACTCCAATCCAAGGATCTTTTATTCTTTTTCTCCCAAAGTATCTACATAAAACTTAGCTTCTCCTTGGGGTCTAAGTCACTTTGTGTTTCCTTTGCTTGGAAAGCCCCTTCCCCAGTTTTTTGTCTTTCGATGCTGTTTCCTCAAAGAAGCATCCCTTGAACCTCCAATGTAAGACTGCAGGTCCACCTTTTCTACGTCCTCCTTATCCTGCTTTATTTTTCTCCACAATACAGCACCATTCCACATATCTTATAATCACTTGTTTATTTTTTTTTTACCAGTGCACCCCCCACTAGAATATGAATGGCCTAAAAACAAGTATTTTTAGGAGAAAATTTGGACCTTTATTTTTTATTTATATAAAATAAATCTATATTAGGGTGACTGGTTAATAAAATTATATAGGTTTCACATGTAAAATTCTATGACACATAATCTGTATATTGCACTGTGTGCTCACCACCCAAAGTAAAGTGTTCTGTCATCACATATTTGACCCCTTTTTAGCCCCATAATCCTCCTTTTCTCTGGTTCCAACATACTGTTACCTGTGTCTTTGAGTTTTTGAAGAAGAGGTATTTTTGTCTCTCTTATTTGCTGTCATGTCCTCAGCAACTAGAACTGCCTTGCATGTAAGCATTCTGTAAATAGTTTTTTGAGTCATAGATAAAATAATTCCCCAATAGAAATTTCATCATAAAGTCCGAGAGGCCTGTTTTCAAGTCATAGGTTCTTTGACCTAGCTCTCCCATAGTTTTACTTAGTAAAGATGCAAAATAGAGGTTACAAGACATTCTTATTTATATTTTATATAATTTTAGACATAAGAATTTTTTTAAGTTGGCAATGGGTTACATGAAATAGAACTAAAGGAGTGCACATTAAAGATTTGTATATTGCTTAAAACAAACTTTGCTCACCTCCCTGCTTTGGAAATTTTCATGCAGGTTTTAGAATAATGGTAATCAAGAATACCTCACAGACACTTAGAGGTTATCTACTATTTGTAGACAGTGGTAAGTTTATAGCCTCCCAGAAAAGTACTTACCCTCTACATAAAGATCTGCTATGACAGCTCCACTCTTCACTCATAACCCACAGTGGAGCCTTTCTGTGAGACACGGAGCTAGGGAAGATGACTCTGGAAATTGCAGACTATTTATTACTGTACAGCTTCTGTGTTTATTAGGCAAATTTAGATATTTCCTGGGGTGAGGTATTCATGATCTATTCTGCAAATTATTGCAACCTCCTAAGTGACACCTGGCTCCTATAATAGGGCATTCTGTAAATGTGTCATGAAGTTAATATTTCCTAACCCTGGATTAGGTCTGCGTACCAGCTGGTTATCATTGCCCCCTTAGCCTCATTATTTAGAAAATACTGTGTCATTTGGTCATAATTTATATAAGGATATGCTTATAAAAATCTGTAGAATGTAGTCTCTGTCCTCGAGAGCCTAGAATCTGGCTGGGCATGTACAAGAAAAAAAAAACCCTAGAGGATGACAGCTGAAAACATACAAATGACTAATACTTACTGCATGCTCACCAGGCATTTTGCATGAATTGCCTTGACTAATCTTCTAACAACCCTGTGAACAAGGGTACTGAACTCACACTATCATTATTTTTATAGTTGAGAAAACAGAGACTTGGAGAAATGACTTAATACCACATTGCTAATAAATGAATCCCAGCTTGTTTGATGTTAGTAGTCAAGTAATTATGTATGTTATGTTGAGAATGTGCAATAGAAAGTATGTAGACTGTAAGGGTAGTAGAGAAGAAAAAGAGCACTATGAGTTGGAATTGTCTAGATAGCATTTTAGAAGACTGGGAGGTGGATTTTGGAAACTGGGTGGGATTTGGAGGTCTGTTTTGTAACTGGATATATCAAGGCAGGAGAGTGGAGCATGGTCTATTAAGTGAAGGAAGCATTTGTATCAGACAACATATGGGGTGAGGGCCAGTGGAAAAGAAGCATTGAGAAGAATGTTTTCTCCTCATTTGCCTCAGTTTTGAAGATTTCATTTCTGGTGTCAAAGAACTTTAAAATAGGGATTTGACAGTAATAAGGAGAAGGAATTGTTAGAGAAGGTGAGACTGGTAAGTAGAGAGTAGAAATGAGGAAAGAGAAAATATGGAGATGAAAAAGAAAGGACAAGCTTTATAGAGTTAGAAATAAAATGAATTTCAAAATCTTTGATAATTTCATGATTCCAAATTACTACCAGTAAGTTCTGTTGTAGTTAATAGTCTTTTTTTTTATAGAGTCTTTTTAGACCTCCTTTGGGTTTACTCTTAGTAGATAATTACTAAGAAAATAAAAAAACTCATGCCTGATATTTCTGGTCAAGATGAGGTGTAGGTAGGCATGCTTTGCCTCCTCCCACAACCACTACAGAGAGAATTACAACTAAACCTCAAAGCAAATAACACCTGAAACTGTCAGAAAATTGAACTGTATGAAAGCCCAACAACCAAAGATTTAAAGAAGCCATGTTCATCCAGATGGGTAGGAGGAGTGAAGATGTGGAGACAGGGTGGAGAAATGAAGAAACACAGTGTGGTGTGAAGAGGCAACAGTGGTAGTGAAATGGGTGGTCTCACATTCACATGTGGGTAAAAATCAGGAGAGAGATGTTGGGAGTAAGCGATCCCAGCCCCAGGCCAGACTGCACAGTCCAGGGTTCTAGATCTGGGGACATAAATCCTCATAACTTCTGGCTGTAAAAATCAGTGGGGCTTGGGGCAGCAGAATAAATTCCCAGGCATTCAGGTGATGCTGCTTAAAGGGCTCACATTAGTCTTAGGATGAGTGCAAACTCACCCACTCTGAGATTCAGCAGCAGAGCAACAGCTGGAAGGGCACCAGTTGCATATGAGGAGTGGGTGGAGTGACAGGAAATGGGGTGAGTGCCCCAGAAGCCAGGCAGTGGGCCAGTCCCCCATCTGAGCCCTACCCCAACACACAGCGACAAAGTGTTGAAGAGGGTTGCTCTACTTTGGTGATTACCTCAGACTCCACCTCACACATTTTACAGGTGCCTTTTCTACAATAGACCTCTCTACTAAGACAGGGAGTCAAAGTACTGAATACACAGAAACAAACACAGGGAAGCTGCCAAATTGAGGAGACAAAGAAATATGGCCTAAGTAAAAGAACAGAACAAAAACCCAGAAAAAGAACTAAATGAAACAAAGGTAACCAACCTATCAGAAGCAGAGTTCAAAACATCGGTGATCAGGATGCTTAAATAACTCATTGAGTATGCCAACAACATAAAGGAAGAAATGAAGGTTACTCTAAGTGAAATAAAGAAAAATCTACAGGGAACCAACAACGAAGGGGAAGAAGCTGGGATTTAAATCAATGCTTTGGAACATAAGGAAGAAATAATCATTTAACCAGAACTGCAAGAAGAAATGAGAATTTTTTTAAAAATGAGGATAGTATAAGGACCCTCTGGGACATCTCCAAATATGCCAACATCCAGATCATTGGGATGCCAGAAGGAGAAGAGGAAGAGCAAGAAATTAAAAATGTATTTGAAAAAATAATGAAAGAAAACCTCAATTTTGGTGAAGGAAATAGACATACAAGTCCAGCAAGCACAGACAGTCCCAAACAAATTAGGCTCAAAGAGGACCACACCAAGACACATCATAATTAAAATGCCAAAGGTTAAATATAAAGGGAGAATCTTAAAAACAGAGAAAAGGAGAGAGTTACCTACAAAGGAGTTCCCATAAAACTGTCAGCTGATTTCTCAAAAGAAACTTTGGAGGCCATAAGGGACTGGCAAGAAGTATTCAAAGTGAGAAAAATAAGGACCTATAACTTAGATTACTCTATCCAGTAAAGGTATCATTTAGAATAGAAGGGCAGATAAACTGCTTCCCAGACAAGGTAAAGCTAAATGAGTTCATCATCACCAAGCTATTATTATATTAAATGTTAAAGGAACTTATTTAAGAAAAAGGAGATAAAAACTATGAACATTAAAATGGCAACAAATTCATAAAGATCAACAACTGAAACTAAAAAAAGAAATTAAGCAAACAGAACAAGAACAGACTCATAGATATGGAGAGCATTTGGAGGCCTGGGAGGGGGAGAGGGGAGAATGGGAGAAATGGTGCAGGGATTAAGAAGCATAATTGGCAGGTACAAAATAGACAGAGG